CCTCCCACTGACACCAATGATGGGGCGCAATTCCTGCCACTGATACCAATGATGGGGCACTATTCCTCCCACTGACACCAATGATGGGGTGCTATTCCTCCCACTGATACCAATGATGGGGCACTATTCCTCCCACTGATACCAATGATGGGCCGCTATTCCTCCCACTGACACCAATGATGGAGCACTATTCCTCCCACTGACACCAATGATGGGACACTATTCCTCCCACTGACACCAATGATGGGGCACTATTCCTCCCACTGACACCAATGATGGGGCACTATTCCTCCCACTGACTAATGATGGGGCACTATTCCTCACACACTGACACTAATGATGGGGCACCATCATTGGTGTCAGTGGGAGGAATAGTGTCCCATCATTGGTATCAGTGGGAGGAATAGTGCCCCATCATTGGTGTCAGTGGATGAAATAGTGCCCCATCATTGGTGTCAGTGGGAGGAGTAGTGCCTCATCATTGGTGTCAGTGGGAGGAATAGCACCCCATCATTGGAATACCATACTGAAATACCATACCATATTGAAATCAAATCTGATGTTTTTTCATTTTTATTTGGTGTGCGTTGGAAGAGGGGTAGTCTTATACGGCGAGTATAGCTCAAACCCTATATTTTAACAGGAAAAGTAGGGGGTCGTCTTATACGCCCAGTCGTCTTATACGCCGGAAAATACGGTATGTATAATTGTTCAATGCTGCAATAAAGTCCCACTGGGGGGTCTTCTGGTACATCAATATTATACACTTATTGGGATTTTTTTTTACCAAAAACATGTAGCAGAATTCAAATTTAAGACAAAATTTGAGTTTTTTATATATTTTTTTACAGAAAATTAGAAAATTATCATTTTTTTTTCAAAATTTTCAGTCTTTTTTTTGTTTATAGTGCCAAAAATAAAAAGCACACAGGTGATCAAATACCACCAAAAGAAAGCTCTATTTGTGTGAAAAAAAAGGATGTAAATTTCATTTATGTACCACATTGCATGACCAATCACAGCAGGTCACATGACAGTTGTATACAATGGATGGCTTCCTTTCATGCTATCCATTGTATACAAGTGTGTCTAGCTATGAATGGTCACAGAGATCACATGCACAAGCTGGGCCAATCACAGCCCAGCTGTGTCATGTGATTAGCCGTGGCCAAATCACAGCTAAGCACAAAAAAAAACCCTGAATGAATCGATGTCATTCAGGTAAATGCTTGCTTATAGCAAAGTAATTCTTTGCTATAAGCAAATTGTGTATAAAAAAAAAAAATACTGATCACTTCCCCAAAGTAGTACAATGTTATTATGGTAACATTATACTACTTTGGTCATAGTGAAATATGAAACAAAAATCTTAAAAAAGAGAACAAAATGTAATAAAAAATTAAAACTAATAATAAAAAAAAAAATTATCAATTTTTTTCATACTGTCACTAATCAGTGCCCCTGATTACCGCCATGCCAGTTATATGATGATGTTGTACTGCACTGGTGACAGTATGTAAAAAAAAAAATAGTGAAAATAATTTTTTACATATTTTTCACTTTCCAAAAAATTATGACAAAAAAAATAATTACAACTTCAAAAGCTCGCCAATGCCTGTTAATGAAATATATCGGACTGTCTACTTTGCAAAAGATGAATGGTCACAGAGATCACATGCACAAGCTGGGCCAATCACAGCCCAGCTGTGTCATGTGATTAGCCGTGGCCAAATCACAGCTAAGCACAAAAAAAAACCCTGAATGAATCGATGTCATTCAGGTAAATGCTTGCTTATAGCAAAGTAATTCTTTGCTATAAGCAAATTGTGTATAAAAAAAAAAAAAATACTGATCACTTCCCCAAAGTAGTACAATGTTATTATGGTAACATTATACTACTTTGGTCATAGTGAAATATGAAACAAAAATCTTAAAAAAGAGAACAAAATGTAATAAAAAATTAAAACTAATAATAAAAAAAAAAATTATCAATTTTTTTCATACTGTCACTAATCAGTGCCCCTGATTACCGCCATGCCAGTTATATGATGATGTTGTACTGCACTGGTGACAGTATGTAAAAAAAAAAATAGTGAAAATAATTTTTTACATATTTTTCACTTTCCAAAAAATTATGACAAAAAATAATTACAACTTCAAAAGCTCGCCAATGCCTGTTAATGAAATATATCGGACTGTCTACTTTGCAAAAAGTGGTCATTTTGGGGATATCTGTACTGTTCTGACATTCTTGGACCTCAAGAAATTAGATTGGCCGTCAGTACTTCAGGATTGATCAATTTCAAGATATATCCCATAGTTTGTGAACTCTGTGAAATTTCTACAAACTAAATAATACATCCTAATTTGGGTTATTTTCACCAAAGACTTGTAGTAGAATACATCTTGGCCTAAATTTATGAAGAACAATTATTTATTTGCAAACTTTTATAACAGAAACAAAGAAAAACGTGTTTTTTTTTTTTCAAAATTTTCTGTCTTTTTTTGTTAATTTAGCAAAAAATAAAAACCCCAGTGTTGATTAAATACCACCAAAAGAAAGCTCTAGTTGTGTGAAGAAAATGATAAAATTTTAGTTTGCGTACAGTGTTGTATGACCGCGCAATTGTTATTCAAAGTGTAAAAGCGCTGAAACCTGAATAATGGCCTGAGCAGGAAGGGGTAAAAGTGCCCTGTATGGAAGCGTTTAAACTAGTGCAGCTCTGTATAGCAAAAAATGGCATAAATTGCAGTATATATACCATAGTTTGTAGACACTATAACTTTCATACAAAGCAATCAAAATACACTTATTGGGATTTTTTTTAACAAAAACATGTAGCAGAATACATTTTGGCCTAAATTTACGACTAACTTTGAGTTTACTATATATTTTTTATAGCCGAAAGTAAAAAATATTGTTTTTCATCAAAATTTGCAGTCTTTTTTTGCTTATAGTGCGAAAAATAAAAAGCACACAGGTGATCAAATACCACCGAAAGAAAGCTTTATTTGTGTGAAAAAAAGGATGTAAATTTCGTTTGGGTACAGCATTTCATGACTACACAATTATTAGTTTAAATAGTGCAGCGTTAAATAGCAAAAAGAGGCCTGGTCATGAAGGGGGGTAAATCCTCAGGAGGGCACGTGGTTAATAAAATTGTTACCATCATATCAGAAATGATTACTTAAGTGGTAATCTCAATATCACATCCTAATTTCAATTTCACAGACACATGTCCCTCCATAAAGGAGGGCGCTTCACCTCATTTCCCTTTTTTATTTAAATGCACTGCTTCCACTATCAAAGGATATTTAATTTGTGTTATTTTATACTATATGCACTTTTAAATTTAACCTTCATTTTACCATGTTTGCAAAATAGATTCAAAATAATTGTAAGCACATTGTTCATCAGATTAATTAAGCCAGCACATAATGTTATTATTTTTTTTTCCAGTAGTCATATCACAGGTGTCCTTAGTGTTCTGTCTCATCCCAGCATATTCTTCTCATTGGAAAGAAAAGGGAGAGAAAACATCTACACAGAGCTACAGGATACACAAAGAATGTAGGACAGAAAGGTCCAGCACACCCCTTCACACACATATATGATTATCTCTCTAAAATTGCTTACACTTTTCCCATTTTTTACACAACACATGCATATCATTCTGTCACTTTCTTTTAACACTCTTCAAAATTTCCCTGCTTAAGTTAGTTTTACCTCTCTTTTAACTCTGTTTTCCTTATTTTGTTCTCTGATATCCTTTCATCCTATGTACTGTAATCCCGTACTCAACTTACTCCAGCTTCTATGATCAGACGGGGAAGCCATAGTGCTCATCCTTCTTACTTCTCTGACCACATATAAAGTATTCTGTTTGGACCAGGGCCAAGAATTATATTATTTCTATACAATTTGACTCTCATCTCTCTGTTTTGACTTTTACTAATGGTTTAGAATTTACAGTTGGGGTGCCTTACTGTAAATTAATTCCACAATAAAATTTACCCTTATGTCTAATGTTACATTGTTTGTCACCCTTCATCCATCCTGCTCAAATAGATAGCTGTTCCTCTAGCTGTTTAATCTGCATGATTCTTGAAACCCTGTTACCCATTGTGGATCCCTGTCTTTAACCATAAAACTAGGCTAGGGGATCAGTATAGGCAGAATTGCACCTTTGGTTCATATATTCTCTAGCGCTCCTTTTGTGCTGGGCATTTTCTGGGGGTACCCTCTTACCTTTCATTCAGTTACTTTAATTGAATGCCCATAATGACTGGCCAGTTTTTTCTCTTCTCTTCTTATGCTATACCCTCTTGCATCAAGATCTATTACAGCAGATGTGTGCTTCATATAACCTGTTAACCAGCACTATTCTTCCTTTTCTTATCTATAACACTCCAATAGACTGTAGATAGTGACAACACAGTGGGGTTTACAATACACAATATACAATATTTTTGACTTTTTGCTATTAAACATGTCACTGGAGGTGAGGACGCCAAGGCACAGTCCACCTCCATTTCATAGGGGAGCTCTGTCTGACAGGGGAATGGAGTATGAGGAAAGTAAAACTGTTTCTCCTCTCCCCTAGACAAAACAAGCTTTTAACCCTTAATCAAATTTTGGCATAAATCTAGGCAAAAATGTATTCTGCTACACAGGGGCGGACTGACAACTTATGGACCCCCCCGGGCAATAGGGGATCATTGGGCCTCTGTGTCCTTGCCCAAACTCAAAAAAGCCTATGAAAAAGGTACCAGGGGCATCTCATGGGGCCCCCTACTGACCCCGGGCCCTCGAGCAGTGCCTGAGTTTCCAAATGGTAAGTCCGCCCCTGATGCTACATGTCTTTGCCAAAAAAAAAATCCCAATACATGTAAATTAATTGGTTAACGTGAAAGTTATAGCGTCTACAAATGAAGGTATATAAACTGGAATTTTTATTTCTATTTTTTTTATACTAGTAATAGCAGCAATCAGCTTATCAGACTTATTGCGGGACTGCATTGGGCATTCTGACACTGGGTGGGAACTAACTAACTGCCACTGACATCCCCAGTGACACTAATACAGTGATCAGTGCTAATAAAAAGCATTGACTGTGTACTAATGGCACTGGACTGGAAGGGGTTAATTTTTGGGTGATCAAAGGGTTAACTGTGTGCTGTGTTTGTTTTACTATGTGTACTGTGTGCTGTTTTACCTTGGAGACATTCTGTTTTGTATATTTCTGCTATGCAGAGAAATACAAAACAGCATGTCCTTGCTGGCAGGAGAGAGACTTGTGTCGTTTACACACAGGTCTCTCCCGTCAGCTTTTGCACGGCGATCGCCAGGTGCCAGCGGGAATCTCCAGCCAGGAACTGGTAATTGATATGCCTAGCGGTGCGAGTAGGGCGGCGCGTGCTCCCTACCTGGAAATGCAAATCATGTATATATACTACTGGACTGAAGAGTGGCTATGGAGCCACGTACTGCCATGCACTGTCAATTTACAGCCAGGCAGACATGATGGGGAACTATTCTCTTAGTTCCCCATCAGGTTCTTTCCACCCAGTGGCAAGTCATTTCCCAGATATGGGCACTTCCATATTTGATTACTGACATCACCAGTATCTCTGGCCCCTTTTTTTACATCAAGCTTAGAATCTACTGACTGACAGCTAAATGGGCCTGCTGATACTGTGGTGATGATGGTGCTACTGTGAGGGAAGCTGCCATATACAGTATATGACAACTTCCCAGCACAGACATGACCCACTCTAAGTACTAGTGTGTCTCTGTATGCAAACTCAGAGCTGGTCTTAATTACTGCCAATAACACATTCTTAAAGTGGTGGTTCTTTAAGAATGTGTTATTGCCTTAACAGGCTCTTAAAGTGGAGGTAGTAAGACTATTTGTCCTCTGTCCTCTGCTGTAATATCATTGAAACTGCCATAAATGCTTGTCTGAATTAGATGCAGGTAGTTCCAAAGTACTCTATGGCCAGAAACGTGCTGTTAAGGCTTTATCAAATTTCCCCCAAGGTGTCATAAATTCTGTCCATGCATTTAATCCTTCTTGTAGTGTATTAAACTTAAAATATATATATGTATATATATAATATATATATAATATATATATAGTTACGGTAGGTCCATATATTTTTGGACACAGGCACAATTTTAGTTTTTTTTCAGGTATTTACCAAACATATTCAAGCTATAATTATATCATGGATATGGGCTGAAAGCAGGGGCGGACTGACAACTCATGGGGCCCCCGGGCAATAGGGGATCATGGGCCCCTGTGTCCTTGCCCAAACTCAAAAAAGCCTATGAAAAAGGTACCAGGGGCATCTCATGGGGCCCCCTACTGACCCTCGGACAGTGCCCGAGTTTCCAAATGGTCAGTCCACCCCTGGCTGAAAGTGCACACGGTCAGGTTTATTTGGAGGGTATGTACATCCAAATTGGAGGATGGGTTTAGAAATTACAGCTCTTAAGAGTAGCCATTCCCCCTTTTTCAAGGGGCAAAAAGTAATTGGACACTTGAATCAAAAGCTGTTTCATGGCAGGCATGGGTTACTCCTTCGTTATTTCTTCAATTAAGCAGGAAAAAGATCTGGAGTTGATTCTAAGTGTGGTATTTGCATTTGGAATCTATTGCTGTGAACCTACATCATGCGTTCAAAGGAGCTGTCCATGCAAGTGAAAGAGGCCATTGTAAGGCTTCAAAAATTAAACAAATCCATCAGAGATAGCAGCAACATTAAGAGTGGCCAAATCAACAGTTTGGTACATTCTGAGGAAAGAAGAACACACTGGTGAGCTCAGCAACATAAAAAGGCATGGACTTCCACAAAAGACAACAGTGGTGGATGATTACAGGATCCTCTCTATGGTAAAGAAAAACCCATTCACAACATCCATACAAATGAAGGACACTCTCCAGGAGGTGGGCGCCTCATTGTGCAAACCATTCATAAATCTGAAGAATAGAAAAGCCAGATTAGACTTTGCCAAAAAAAACTCTAAAAAAGCTAGACAAATTCTGGAAAAGCATTCTTTGGATGAATGAAATGAGGACTAATCTGTACGAGAATGATGGAAAGAAAAAAGTGTGGAGAAGCATTGGAACAGCTCATGATCCAAAGCACACAACGTCATCTATAAACATGGTGGAGGCAGTGTGATGGCATGATGGCATGGGCATGCATGGCTACCAGTGGAACTGGGTCATTGGTGTTTATTGATGATGTGACAGAAGACAGAAGCAGCCACATACATTCTGCAGTGTTTAGAGATATATTGTCAGCCCAGATTCAGCCAAATGCAGCAAAGTTGATTGTACGGCGCTTCACAGTACAGATAGACAATGATCCAAAACACACTGCAAAAGCAACCCAGGAGCTTTTAAAGAAAAAGAAGTGGAATATTCTGCAATGGCCAAGTCAATCACCTGATCTCAACCCAATTGAGCATGCATTTCAATTGCTGAGGGCAAAACTAAAGGCAGAAAGACCCACAAACAAAGAACAACTGAAGACAGCTGCAGTTAGAGCCTGGCAAAGCATCAGAAGGAGGACACCCAGTCTTTGGTAATGTACATGGGCTTCAGACTTCAGGCAGTCATTGCCAGTAAAGGATTCTCAACAAAATACTAAAAATTAACTTTTTATTTATGATTATATTCATTTGTCCAATTACATTTGAGCCCCTGAAAATGGAGAGACTGTGTATAAAAATGGTTGCTGTTCCTAAAATTTGTACTTTATATTTATGTTTAGCCCCTTGAATTTAAGCTGAAAGTCTGTAATTCAAATTTGCATTGTTTTGTTTTAATTTATTCTGGTGGCATACAGAGCCAAAAGTATGAAAATTGTGCCTGGGTCCAAATATATATGGACCTAACTGTATATGTATATATATTTACAGACTTTTCTTTATCATTCTGATGTGCAATTTCCTTTTAGTATAAGCACCTTTCTGCTGTGGCCTGGTATGCAGACGTGATGTTCTACAGGAGTGTCAAGTTGCTTTTCATGTGTAGTTTCAGTTTCGTTTCCCCATTGTATGTTCCTTTGGAAAGGTATTTTATACAGAACAGCACATGTACAACATTTTATGTTGGTTGGACAATGCAGTTCTGATTAGCTGTTTTCATAGATTGGGAGGTTGTCTATAGGAGAGCAGAGGAAGATTAACTGCTTCCCCGCCGCACTATAGCAGAACTACTGCAAAAGGGCGGCAAGGCTGCTCATAGTCACGTATATATATACAGTACATGATTTTGCATTTCCGGGTAGAAGGTGCGTGCACACCATTGGCTCCTACAGCTGTCAATCAATGGGTCCTGGCAGGAGATTCCCCACCAGCAGCACAGCAGGGCAATACAAAGCAGCTTGTGTCCCTAGTAAAACACACACAGCACATAATGCAAAATACAATACAGCACACAGTTAAACTTTTGATCGCCCCAGATCTTAACCCCTGATCACTATATTAGTGTCACTGGGGATGTCAGTGGCAGTTAGTCAGTTCCCCCCCAGTGTCAGAATGCCCGCTGCTGTCCCGCAGTCCCACAATAAGACGCAGATCACCGCCAATACTACTGTAAAAAATGTAAATAAAAATTCCAGTATATATACCGCCATTTGTAGATGCTATAACTTTCACGTAAACCAATTATTATATATACATGATTCGCACTCCCCTGGTTTTCACGCCCCTCCCATATGGCGTCAGATTGCCTGTCATTACACCAGTAATCACATGTAACCCCTTGATTGCCAGGAACATGCTCATGCACAATAAACCTCCATTGCTAGTATAGTGTCTGAACGGATCAATATCTTTGATCAGATCAGCACTATACCAGTGTTCACATTAGTAAAGTGTCCACAAAAATGCAGCGTTATCGGGATAAGCCCCAACACCTGCCAGCACCTGCGTTTAGCCCCTATGCTTACCCCCCCTCCTTCTCCCCAGTAAGTGCAGTGCCAGTAGGTCACTGTCACTTGATACATTGCACACAAACCCGCAATGTTCGAAGAATCAGGCCTGATCTCTGTTAGCACTTGCCGGTAAATTTTGATGACTCTCATATGCAGCAGAGTGACAGTACTAGTGCCGCGCTACCTTTTGGTGAACTGGCAAGCACCAGCGGTCTAGTACATCCTGGTCTTTTACATACCTCTTAGATTGTAAGCTCCCAGGATCAGGGCCCTCCTAACCCTCTTGTATTGAACTGTATTGTTGCTGTATTGTCTCCCGTTATATTGTAAAGCGTTGAGTAAACTGTTGGCGCTATATAAATCCTGTATAATAATAATAATACCAGCACTGCAGTATGACTTGGCGATGTGGCGAGTCCCATAAGTGCAGTGCAAGCTGGTGCGGGTGGCGAACACAAGTATTGTCCCGCAACCACCAAGAATTCTCACACAGGCCCGTAGAGCCCCTAGTATCCTTCCGGATGTGCTTGCAAATCCCGATTGGAAGCCCACAAATTTTGCAGCACCCATACTTCCCCTATTCACTGCCCAACCCGGAATTCAGGTGTAAATAGCAAATTTAACTACTTCGCTTGATTTTTTGGAGCTGTTTTTCATGGAAGATCTGTATGCATTGATTGTGGATCAAAGCATTTTGTATGCACAACAATGTATTGCCGCCAACCCAAATTTAAACCTTGCCAGACCATTCACATGGATTTCGAATTTATATTTTTTTGGGCCCAACCCTCAACATGGACATTACTAAAAACAATGAATTGTGGTTGTATTGGTCCACAGACCCGATTCATCATATGCCCCTGTTCTCGGCTGCTATGGCCAGGCATAGATATGAGAGTATAATGTGTTTTATGCATTTCAATGACAATACACACTGTCATCCCCGAGGTGACCCTGAATTTGACCGGCTAAACAAAATTCAGCCCCTAGTAAATCACCTTAACCAAAAATTTGCAGACGTCTATACTCCCCAGCAAAAAATCTGCGTTGATGAGTCCCTCATTAATTTTTCTGGCCGCCTTGCATTCAAACAATTTCTCCCCAGAAAGCGTGCCAGATATGGGGTCAAGATGTAGAAGACCTGTGAGAGGGCAACAGGCTATACTTATAAGTTTTGGATTTACAAGGGAAAATATAGTCACATGGAGCCCCCCCGGATGCCTAGACTACATAGGGAGTAGTGGCAAGACAGCTTGGGACTTGGTGTCATCCTTTTTCCATATGAGGTACCACTTAGATGTGGACAATTTTTATTCAAACGTGCCACTATTTAGACATTTGTACAATCTTAGAACTGGCACATGTGGCAAAGTGTGACCTAATGTGTGCCCACCATTAGAAGTGGGTGGATGAAGGGCGGTATATTCTAATGGTGGGCATACCACACTTTTTTTTTTTTTTGGCAGAG